GTAAGGCCAGGAGCCCCTAGTAGCTTCTTGTTTCAATTGTAAATCGAATTCTTGTTCCTAGTAGTATGGCCAGGAGCCCCTAAGAGCGTGGTTGCTCCTAGTAGTAAGGCCAGGAGCCCCTAAGAGTGTCCTTGCTCCTAGTAGTAAGGCCAGGAGCCCCTAGTAGCTTCTTGTTTCAATTAAAATTCGATTTCTTGTTCCTAGTAGTATGGCCAGGAGCCCCTAAGAGCGTCCTTGCTCCTAGTAGTAAGGCCAGGAGCCCCTAGTAGCTTCTTGTTTCAATTGTAATTCGAATTCTTGTTCCTAGTAGTATGGCCAGGAGCCCCTAAGAGCGTGGTTGCTCCTAGTAGTAAGGCCAGGAGCCCCTAGTAGCTTCATGTTTCATTTCTAATTTGATTTCTTGTTCCTATAGTAGTATGGCCAGGAGCCCCTAAGAGCATCGTTGCTCTTAGTAGTAAGGCCAGGAGCCCTATAAGAGCGTCCTTGCTCCTAGTAACGATGCCAGGAGCACCTAGTAGCGTCCATGTTCCTAGTTATTCGTTTTGCTCCTAAGGAGAAACACCTCGATAGGCCTCCACCTGCTAGCGATGGCCTCCAACCTACTAGCAATGGCCTCCAACCTGTTCGAGTCCAAGAAATTCTCATCATTTTGCACGGAACTTTGCCTCCATGTCTTCTGCCATAGCACCAAGTCAGTGATTCTCCATTTTGGCTTGGGACCGGCCTTCTCCAGGTTTGCAGACAGTGCTCGATCTCAAGAAAGCTTTGGCAGCTCAGCATTTAATGATAGAGGTCCAAAACACTTGGATAAGTCCACCCATGCTCTCATGTGAATGTTATTGGTGGCAAGTTGATAGCTAAGGGGGTGGTGTATGTTTTGAGAAGCCAATCCCCTCTGGAAGTATTACACTTCAAGCGCTTGTTGACAAATGTTATTCGCACTTTTATCAGATGTTGTTTTGGTTCTCACTGATTGTGTGGCCATTGTGCTGGAAGAACAGGCTGCAACTGCCACTCAGGAACAGATCGTCGTAGATATGCCCACGGATCAGCAAAGACTCACCCTGATTCGAAACAACCAGAGGCGCACCACAGCTGGCCATCAAACGTCCTATGTGTAGCCCCACACATGACATATATAAATTTCCACAGCCTGTAGGACCCTGTTAGGGGCTCCTGGCCTTACTACTAGGAGCAAGGACGCTACTAGTAACAAGTGCATCGCTACTAGGAACAAGGACCCTGTTAAGGTGTTGTAGTTTCAGGCTGGAGCCGGACACCGCCAACTTGTCTGAGCTTGTTCAAGCTGGTGATCAACTGGAAGCTTGGCCGCAGCCGACTCTTCCTGGCTTTGCCCTCCGGGATCAAGCATTGCAGGTTTTGTCAGGCTTTTATGCTTCTATTGCTTTCTATTATTGGAAGCCATCGGTTCTACGTTGCAGGCCATCGCTCTCAGGCTTCTATTGCTTTTTATTTCTTTTTGCTTTTGTGTTGCTTCTCTGCTGTCATTCCATCTCATGCCTTCTTCCTTACAGATTGGTAGCTAGGAAAGCTAGGAAAGCTAAAAGACAAAAATGAAGGCTTCGACTGTTTTGCACTGAGGAATTGCAAGTCCTCTCATGGACTGAAGCACGGGGGTTGTGAAATGCTTCACTGCGACCAGTCGCATGATGTTAAGTGTGGTCTTCGGGTGGTCACGGTGCTCTGACACCATCCATGACATTCAGCACACCATTCAAATGCCTCTTGGCATCCAATTCCGGCAAATCCTAGTTTGCTGCAAGTGTGGCGCATGTAGCGGGCGGAAAGCCGTCGGCTAAGCAGTTTCATTTGGAGGGAGGCGAATCTGCCACCAAGATTAGTTGGAACCAAGGATATACCAGACGGCTGTCTTCCAAAAAACACTTGCTTCGGTGTGGGTCTGACTGGCCACCCATTGGCCCATCATGTAGTTGATAAGATTGCGGAGGAGGAAGACAGAGACAGAGAAGAAAGCTGCGCAAAGAGTCCTCCGTTGAAGCCATAGGAGCAGGATTGAGCTTCCGGGTTTGAGTTGCAAGAAGTTTATGCGGCGCGTCGGTTACAGCATCAAAGAATAAGATTCACCCTGAGACACCTGAGCAAGCAGAGGAATCTGAACTATAGAACGGATAACGATCAAACATACAGGCAGCTCCCATCAGATTTTTGGGTGGAGACAGTTCTGGCAGTTCCTCAGCCCCAAATGTAGCCATTTTGGGCAAGCGCACCAAAGCTTGTGGGACACCATGGGACACCATCCCCACACCTCGCAGCCTCGTGAAGTCACGTGACGCAGAGAATTCAATACGTGAACTGCAAACATCGACCAGTGTTGGGTTCTTTTTATGAGATGGTCGCGGACCTAGGATGATTCAGCGTCAGTGAACTATTATATCTCATTCTTGTTCGGTTGTCATTGCTGGTGGCCATGGTGAAACGGGCGCGTGAGAGCCAGCCAGATCTTGGTTGTGGCTCATAACTGCAATTGGGTGGCTGATTCTTGTTTTGCCGCGGAGTGGATGCATTTGGATGCAACCTTTGTGCAACGTGTTTTTTGGGGGAACGGTCTGCTTGACCAGACTCAGCGAGGAGTGCTGCATGTGTCCTGTTTGAAGAAACCATGTTGAATGGTGCGGGACAATACATCGGCGTGAAGAGACGGTACTCAGGGCTTTGTCGTACTACATGAACCAACTGGTGAACTGTACGTACCTGCTTGAAAGCAGGCAGAGGAATGGATTGTTTGATGGTTCATCGGCATGGCCGGCATGACATGAGCGGAGTGAGTCTCAAAAGGGCCCCAAGAAGATGGAAGATATTGGAAGATCCTATCTGAATCACACCAGTCGTAAGATTGCGTTTCGAACATTCCTGCTTGCCAGCCTTATGCGGGCACATAGTGAAGTTCAAGACTTAAGGCCTTAGGTGGCCTTGGTCGTGTTATGGCAAGTAACTGGCATACGGGGTCGCCCAGATAGAGTTCTTAGGTGTGCTGCGTCACCGTTGCCCAACGCCCAAAGCCATTGACCCTGCACTGGAAGCCTCTGAGCTCATTGGCAGGCTGATTGACGGCACGTGCACATGCCATGATTTCAGATAGGTCAACGGTGTTCAATGCAGAGCACAGATTTGGTCAGATCATCGCCATCGCAGGCTTTTGGCTCCTTTGACTGTGGAGAGCTTCCTGTCCTCATGCTGGGCTGAGAAGGTTCTCTTGGCACCTTAGGCTGCAGTCAGAAATGCAAAGCAGTCGGCAACGCACTGGAACCATCGCTAGTAGGTTGGAGGCCATCCCTATTATTAGGTTGGAGGACATTGCTATTAGGTCTTAGGTTGGAAACCCGCCACCACCAGCACCACCATGTCGTGAAGCTGGAGTGGCCTTGGAGCTCGAGCGACTCCGGCAGGTCGAGGGACCTCCCAAGCGCTTGGGACCCATCATTGAGCAGTTGAGCCAACTGAATTTGGAGGACATGTTGCAGGAGACGCCCAGTGAACAGGCAGCAACTGAAGCCCCGAATGTCAAAAGGAACTTGTCACATGGAGTCGCAGAAATCACAGGGAAAGGACTTGGGAAAGATCGTTCTTGTTGATTCACGACAGGTGCATGCGTGGCTCAAAAGTCTCCTGGCGAAAGGGCAGGAAGGCAGATTTGGAACCGCTGTCCATGGGGTTTCGAGGGTTTGGAACAAGCACTGAAGGGCAGGGCTGCCATCACTGAATGGAATCACTTTCCAACCGATTCTCGAAAGAACGATGGAACAGGAAATAAAGAAAGAAGGGAATTCCAAAAGAAAAGGACCATATTAAGGCCTAAAGGATCCTAAAGGTCATAGAAAAAACGACTGAAAGCAAAAAAAGCACAAAAACCCAAATTCGGCCCTATGAGGCTGGCCAATAGATTTCAATTTGTCCTTCCCGACTCAGGCCCCACAGAGACAGCTCTGCAGAGTGTTCCTCTGGAGCCGGCGGCGGCGCTGGCACTGCAGCGGTGTGGCCAGGCCGCGCTCTACTTCCGAGCACCCGAAGCCTTGGAGCAACCCGGAAAGAGAGGAAAAAGGGGAACAAAGGGAGAGGAAAAACCGAATTTTTGTGCACTGCAGTGTCACTGCAGGTTGATGCAAGTGAAGATACGAGTAACGACACAGTAGAACGTCGCTGCATGAAGCGGTTCAAGAACGTCTTGGAAGCGAGAGTGACAGACCTTTGCACTATGCGCAGACATGAGACCAGCACTATGGCACTATGGTAGATGAAGCTATGAGACCGATTCTGCCAAGGGACTTGCTGGTGCCTGGCATTTGCACCGGCTTGAGAGCAGCTTTCGCAGGGATTTATCCAGGCCTTGTGAGATGGTGTTATGTGCGGTCCATCGAGGTACCACACTTTAAGCCTTGGAACATCTCAGTGGACATCTCTAGAAGGACCGAACAGGGCCAATTACAAATCAAATTAAAATGCCCACTGAAGAGCATTACTGGTAGTAGCTTCCTGCTAGTAGCAATGCTCATATGACTAGTATAAAGGAAGAGTTCGTCTCTTTCGGCCAGGTGATGGACGTCCCCGAGGCGAGATTGAGACCTTCGTGGCTCAAAGAGGCCATGTGACAGGCCAGAATCAGAGATCGTACGTATTGCGCGGGTGGCCATCGCACAATCCCATGTATGTCCATGTCCATGTCCTTTCCATAGAGAGGCTTCAGTTGGATTGCGAACCTGAGGTTGGCATACGGATTTTCAGCACAACTTCACCTTCCAGCTGAGGCCAGGGTGAGGATAGGGCATCAAAGCTGCGAGTGCTGGTCTTTTCAACAAGGTCCCGAAAAACTGCGCTGCTTCAAAAGCTCGTTTGATCTCCTGGATTTGTTCGGCTGAGGGGATCCAAGCGGTGGCGCTTCAAGCAGGGACCGGTGAAGAACAATGTGCGGGCTTTGACGCCGCACTTTTTGCCCAGCTCTCAGCTAACCATTCCAAACCATTCCAAAGGATCTAGAGTCTATAGATGAACATGGAAAGATGTTTCTACTAGCTTCTTGTTACTACTAGCGTGGCACTTGTTACTACTAGCGCCACGCTACTTCAAAACAATTCCAAGCATTCCCGCTTCAGCTACAAGGAGCCTTTGGAGTAGGAGATTTCTGGCCCATGTGCCCACGTGACGGTGCACTTATGTCACCGAGGACCAAAGCCAATTTCGAACAGCAGATGAAGCTTCACGTCACGTGCGACATTCGGATGCAACATACAGCTGGCTGCTTCTTCCCCGATGTGCATGAACAATCTCACATGCCACATGCCCTCCCGCAATCACTAACCACAAACCACCCAATGCGAACACGGTTAGCCAAATGCAAGCCGCACTGCAAGCCGCTTCATCCAAGGATCCATCACAGCCTGACTTCAAGCCACCGGAGAGCTTCTTCGCAGATGCTGAGGTGGTGGATGTGACCGCTGGTGATTTGCTCTATCATCCCGCAGGGATTTGGCACCATGTGGAGGTCACTGGAGAGTCTCGCCATGCGGAAATAGCATGACCTTTGCTCCGTTCGTAGCGTTCTTGCTCCTAGTAAGGCCAGGAGCCCCCAGTAGCGTCCTTTTCTCCTAGTAGTAAGCCCATTCAAAGCCTAGCGAAGCATTCTTTTAGTCAAGCATTGACGGCCTTGATGCCCAGCTGGATTTAAGGACACCGAGAGTATATCGATCAATGTGTCCATCTCTTGTGCTTCTTGGGCTGACTTGGTCGCCTGGCAGGAAGACGAGCATCTCTTGTGGCCCAAGAACATTTGAATAACACCAAACTTGACCCTGCTTGAATTCCAGTTTGAATGAAGCCGGCTGCACTTGTTAGTGATGCATGCTATTAAGTTCAATGAAAATACATTAATCCTCCCATTCGGTGGGGGATTCTGTCGTTTTTTCCCATATCCCGTGCGCAGTGTGCGGGATTCAATGGGACACCACACCTTGGACACTCAGATCTTGGACGCGTTGGAGAGTTGCTTGAGCTCAGAGCCGAGGTGAGCGACGCCATACGCCAATCCCTTTGGAGCTCAAGTCGCTTGCGTGCACCCATCGTCGGCCTGCAAGACTTCGTGGAAGCCAAGCGCATGGCCTCTTGACGCTGTGCGGCCGCGATCGGCCGCGTGGGCCTGGGCAGATGTGTTTTAGATAGTGAAACAATCGTTGTGAATTGAATCGGAGAATTTAGTTTAGGTCAAAAGAGGTCAAAAGAGGCGTTTGCTCCAGCACATTGGAGCACCAATTGCATCCCAAACACCGAAAGGAGGTTTTGCTGGATGGGTTGTGAGTCCACCTTAAGTCGACGACATGATCCCCATCCCGAAGATTTAAGATTCTTATGGCCTTGGGGGCTTGAAGTAGTAATGGCCTGCCTCCAACCTAGTAGCCTCTTGCTAGTAGTACAGTATAGCACAGTCTAGTACAAATCACACATGTTAAGCCATTAAGTCATGGCGGAACGGATGTCGCTCGTCTTCAGGTTGAGGATCGTCTTCGAGAGGCGAAGAAGCACATCAATGCACTGAGGGCTGAGGATTTGCTGTCGCCGGTGATGCTGGAGCCGAGGTGTGCAGTGTGCAGTCAGCGGCTGTCGCTGCATGGAGAGACCGTACGAAGGGATACCGTACGAAGCTGACCGTAGCAGAGAGGTTAGATGAGGTAAGTGTCGTGTGTGGAAATTGTGGCCGTGAACTGAACGAAGCCAAAAACGCTTAACAGCCCATAGGAATTTCCATCAGCTTGGGACTGCATGCCAGTGCTGCCAGGTTGCCGTCGCGTATCGACATAAAGCGCTCTCGCTTGGGTCATGAGCTTCCAATCACGCCACTTGGCGACAGGGGCATCGCTCAGTGGCTTTGGTTTTAGTGTTCCAGTTTGCTAAGTCCTTCGTGATTCTTGTAATTAATCTTGAAGACTGGTTTTGCAATAGTTTGCAGAGGTGCTTGGCCGGGTGCCGGCACTCTTTTGGGGGTTAGGCACGACGGATGCATTCTGAGGCAACACCCTGCACGCACGATTAGGCTAGGTCACTCCAATGGCCTCCGTCGCTAGTAGTTTGGAGGCCATCACTATTAGGCTGGAGGCAACCATCGCTACTAGGCTGGAGGCTGTCGCTTGTAGGTTGGAGCCATTACAATTAGGTTGGAGGCCATGGCTATTAGGCTAGGTCACTCAATTGGTTTGTATCGATCACTCGTGTTTGCTCGTGCGAGCTCACCCAATTCTTCACTTCATACGGCACTTCCTGTCGATCCTTGCCCATGCTGACCATTTGTTGATTCCGTCCTTGGGAAAGCCCTTGGGCTTTGTAGCGTCCTTGCTCCGTATGGCCAGGAGCTACTAGTAGCGTCCTTGGGAAAGCCCTTTCAAAGTTCTTTTTGGAATCGAGAGGCTTTCCTCCACGATTCGTGGCTTCGCGTGGTCCTTCAGGCAGCAAATGTCCTTCCGCTTCTCCCACTTGAGCGCCTTGGTCCAGCTTCCTGACGAGATCCAGTCCGAGTCCGAAGAGGCACAGCGTCATGAACGAGGGCGGTAGGATACGTCATGAGACACGGGATCTCAGCACACACTTAAAGACACTTGGTTTCGTAGATGTTCATGGCATTTTCTCACATGGCGGTCAGTGCAAGATGGAGGGATTGAAGCGATTCAGCAGAAGATTAGCTCCATTGTTTGACAACTTTTAATTTGGTCTGAAGTTCAGTTCCAGCTGCAAAAAGATGTGTTCACTGGCCATACAAGACAACAAGTCACCGAGTTGTAAGCCTATCTCTTCAATCATCTTCAAGCATCTTCAATTCATAGTATTCATATATGGTATAGGCTAGGTTGGAGGCCATCGCTTCATAAATTGCATAGCCATGTGCCAATTCAGATGTGTGGACTCAAGGTGACAGTTGCCAGGAAATGCCAAAGAGCTCCAAGCGTTTCGCGCTGCATGCCAACTTCGGCAATGAGGAGTTTCGCCAAAACGGTCGAACAGTGTCCAATGACTCAATGAGCTGTTTCTTGCGCAGTTTCTTTGGTTGGACGTGTCTAATGTGAATTCTCACATCATCATGTCACCATGCCCTGTGCACGCGCCACATATCGTTGGACGAAGTAAAGGTTGAGGACCTCATGCAAAGCGAACGAAGTGATGCCACTAGTAACAAGAAGCTACTAGGAGCTCCTGACATCGCTACTATTAGGAGCAAGGACGCTACTAGGGGCTCCTGGCCGTACTACTAAGAACAAGATGTATTTGCACGATTGTACACCTGTACATACCATATTGACCTCTACGTTTGGCTCAAGAAAAGGGCGCTCTACATGTTGGTACTTGTAGGCTGTTGGCCTGTAAATTCAGGTTATCAGCCGTATCGCCAAAGAGCGGTACGCGCCATTCTAGCTGTGTCACCTACCCACCCTCGTTCTGCGCACACGTGAGGTGGCATGGCGGACAGGCTCTTCGAACCAATTCGAGATGGCACGGATCGATCGAGGTCAAGAGTCGGTGATGCCGATGAGAATGGGTCATATGTACAGACGGAAGTCTTCACCTCAGAGCATGATGAGGATGCGTTGGTTGAAGCACATGGGAACGTGTTGCCACCAGCTACATCGACTGGTGCAATCGTCCTGTCTCCCACGAGCCCTGCCTTCGTTCCGTCGAGTACATACAACGATTCGAGACAAGTCATTAACCAAACGGCGAACTTCCACGATCAAAGAATGATCAACGTCAACCTGGACAAGTCCGCTGAAGTCGCACAACTTGCAGAAGCGCGACACAGGGAACTGATGTCCAAGAAAGACGAAGAAGTGAAGAAGACAGTGGAAGCCATTCACCGAGAGGCACACGACCATGTCAAGGAGCAACTCGAGTTACAAGAACGAAGAGCTGCATCTTGGGCTGCAAACGAGCAAGCTAAGATGAATGCACATGAAGCAGTCATCAAGAATGCTGCGTTGACTGAAGCTCAACTATACAACCACAACTTGACAGAGTTACAACAACAAGCGCAGAGTCGTGAATCGCAACTGAGGGAAGAGTTGAGAACACAAACAGAGCTCATTAGAGAACCTCGAGAGAAAATGGAAACATCTGCTCGAGGGAACTATGAGCCTGCTGGAACACCGGCTAACCTCAGGACAACTCTTCCAGGTCCGATGGGTTCAAGCGAGCTACCTCTTGGTCAACCATATCGACCAATGCAGAAATCAATGACTGATAGTTCCGGCGAACCCTACCGTGAAGCTCTTGCAAGTGGGACGGTTAATGCTCCGAAAGTAGCTGGAGGTGGTCCTCCTGATCATCCCAGTTCATCAAGTTCGTCTTCATCCGATGACAAGAAGAAGAGCAAGAAAGACAAAAAGAAGAAGAAGAAAGATGACAAGGAAGAGAAGCGTGGCAGATCACCCCGCAAAAAGAACAAAAAGAAAAACAAAAAGGGGTCACCTTCACCGTCCGAGTCACCTTCATCGTCGAGCTCGTCTTCTGAGGATTCATCCTTTGCCCGGAAGGTTAGGAAGCATTTGAAGAAGATGAAGAAAGAGGATCGTGAACAGAGGGCCAAAGAGGCTGAAAAGATCCTCATTCCCAAGTTTCCTACACCTGAAAGGTATAGAGATTGGCGAATTAAAGTTCGGGACAATGTGTCAGCGGCGTCCGCTAAGCCGGACAAGGCCAGGTTATGGCTAGGTAAGGTTTATGAAGACGCCGTGACCACTAAGGACCTGGATGACTCTGAGGGTTTCATCACGCTGGATGCAAAACTTCTCTCAAGTCTCACGAACTGTGCGGAGGGGGACCTTGCTCGCCAACTCAACACATTTAAAGAGACCAAGGAGAAAGCAAAAGAACCGATAAAGGGACGACAAATCCTACTGTTGTTCCATGAGTATTTTGCTACATCCATCAAACACGGTGCTATTTACGATGTTGAAGATCTTATCTGTGTTAAGATGGTGAACGAGGACCTGAAAGGTTTTGTTACGCGATGGGAGTCTGTTATCGCGGGGATGCGAACGGAAGTTGACAAGAAATGGCTTGAGGCATATTTTCATCTTGCTGTGAAGAACTTTAAGCCTCTAGCTCATGATCTTGCCATCTACGAACGCGCCTCGGAAGGGAGTGCCGAAAAGACTTATGACTTTTTGATCAAGTCAGCCAAGGCATACCTTGAAAGGAAACGTTTGGAAAAGATGAGGGATGCCACGAAACGTAGTCTTGGAGGTAAAGACCCTGCAGCTCCTGTCATTGACCCAAGTGACAAAAAGCCAAAAGGTGTTTGCTATGAGTTTCAGAACAAAGGGAAGTGCAGTAGGCGCGACTGCCCATTCAAACATGAGAAACCCCGTGAATCCAGCAAAGGGAGGCCCAAAGGTGGCGGAAAGGGTAGATCTTCTTCTTCACGTGGAAGGTCGTTGACTCCGGGATCCAGATCGGAAGTTTGCAAGTTTTGGAAATCTGGTGATTGTCACCGGGGAAAGAACTGTGCTTTCAAACATCCCGATCGTTCTTCAACACCCGCACCAAGTGACGACCGGAAGAAACGAAAGAAGAAGAAGAAGGAGAAAAGAGAGAAGAAGAAACGAAGTACTTCTCGTGGCTCCAACGGTTCTGGCGGTAGTCAGAAATCCAAAGGTGGGAAAGGTACTCCTTCTAACCCAGCCGCTGTTTGCCTGCTGCGCACTCTGGTCTTAGCTACTGCGGTCTCATCATCACAGTCTGCTACTATCAGATGCCCGTTGGAAAGCGTGGCCATGGTTGCTACACCTGCCACCAGTTCTTCCCCTTCATCTTCGTCAGGACGGGGAAAGGTGAAACGTCTTTCTTTTGCTGACAAACCAGAAGTTTTTAAACACGTGGTTCATTGCAATTCTTTAATGTTTCCAGTTGTTGCGCGAAGACAAAGAAAGCATGTCAGTTTCCCAATAGGCCACAAAGGAAACGCTGAAGTTTTGGAAATAGCATCTGAAGATGCATGCATTGCAGCAGATCGTTTGAGCAGAGCTGTTTCAAACGAGTTGAATGGCGTCGAGGCACGTTGTGGCTATCTTTGCGATTCGGAAATGGGATGCAAGCATTGTTTTAAGAACCAAAGGGTCACAATGCCTGCGACCGAGATCGCATGGATTGCAGATACTGGCAGTGCGAATGATTTGGTGTCTAGGGAAATGGTCAATCGCAACGAAGTGTTTGAATCCTCGAAACCGGTTAGTCTTCTTACAGCTAACGGAGTGTTCCAGGCTAATGATCAGGCCAATCTTGATATTCCCTTGTTGGGAATCACTGCAAAACCATATGTACTTGATGATAGTCCGGCAGTGATATCCGTGGGACAATTATGTATTGATCATGATTGGTCGTTCGTTTGGCCGTCAAATGATACACCGTACTTCAAAAAGCCAAATGGGCAGAGGATCAAGCTTCTAGTGAAGGACTATGTTCCTTATCTACCATCAACCAGTGGTATGGCTATGACTGCTATCGGGCACAAGTATGAAGAACATGCTTCCGGGAACGGCAAGTCTTCGTACATTCCGATCCCTACTTCACCTAGTGTAGAGGAAGCACCCCATGAGTCTGCAGAGGCAGAACCCGAAGCAATCGATGCCAGGTTAGTCCCCGATCCACCAGCAGAAAAGCGTGATCGTGGTGAACAAGCCTTGAGGCGAGAAGCAAAGTCGCTTGCGCATTTGTTGACGCATGTTCCCAAGAACCCTTTTTGTACAACATGTTCAAGGGCTAAGATGACTAAGCCACCATCATACAAGAAGGGAGGATCCGAAACTGTTGATGCTGACAAGTTTGGTGATCACATCACTGCTGATCATCTTATTCTTCGGGATGACGAAGAAGAGGCTATCGATGGTTCAAGAAACGCCCTAGTCGTTAAGGACATAGCTACGGACTTTAGATATGTATATCCGTCGGCTAGGAAAACGACTAGAGATTGTGTTCTTGCATTGAAGCACTTCACCCGGGGACGGGATGACATTGGTGTGTTCTATTCAGACAAATCAGAAGAGCTTGTCAAGGCAGCATCAGAACTGAAATGGAGACACGTTACAAGTGTTCCGTATATCTCCAAGAGTAATGCTCAAGCAGAGAGGAGTATTCGATCCGTTCTTGATGGAACTCGTATCAATCTTGAACAGGCGGGTTTGCACCATACATACTGGACGCATGCTGCCAGACATTGTTGCATGGCGCACAACATACTCGGTGATCAGGAGTCTCAAACGCCATGGCAACTCAGGTTCGATGAGAAGTTCAAGGGACCAATGATTCCTTTTGGAGTGAGGATTGACTATTGGACCGGACCAAAAACCAAAACCAAAGAAAAATTGAAATTCGATCCTACCTCACTACCAGGAGTGTTTTTGGGATACAAGATTCACCCTGAATTCTCATGGAGGAAAGAGTTCCTTGTTCTCCCTCTCAAAGAGGTGATGGACAACAACTTTGATAGTAGTGTGCCATGGGTTGGAACGAACAAACTCGCGTTGCCTGACGGAGATTTTGTGTTTCCATTGAAGGACAGGTAT